CCCTGCCGACACCTCTCTCCCCACAGAAGACCGCGCCCCCTCGGCCGCCCCCTCGCTGTCCCCCACGCGCTTCCACCCGCAGGACAGACGCCTGGGACCCGGGGGCCGGCCAGGGGCAAAGGCTCCTCCGGGGCTGCGTGAGGAGGACGGCATCCACGCCGCGCTTCCCGCTCCTCCGCACAAACCTCGCCTCCCACATCTCCACGGCTGCCCGGGGCGCGTCGCCCCCACTTCCGGCGCCCTCGGTGCTGTCAGGAGAGCCTGGGTCCCGAACCGGCCCTGCAAGGCTTCCGGCCCCAGGGAACACTGAGGTGGTCCGGGCAGAGCGCCTCTGCTCCCGCGGCTTCCTGCCCCGCTGCTAACGCTGGGCGGCTCTGCACCGTCCTCTGGCCCATTTCCCTTCAGCTCTCCGGGTCAGCGCCGCGCCTCCGGCCGAGGGGGCCGCTCTGTCCTCTCGATGTCAGAGGGACGAGGAAGCCCCTTCCAGGCCTAGTGCCAGCCCTTCCCGCGTCTGTCTCAACTGACCCCTTACACGCTGCGCTTTCGCCAGTGCCCTTTGCCCTCAAACTGCCCCAACTAGCCCTGGAAGGCAGGATGAGCCTGCTTCTGAGGGTCCCCCGCGGGAACCCCGCCCTGGCCTGCCTGGGTTGTCTTCCGCTGTCTCCCCTCTGAGAACCATGGACCCTAAGCCTACCACGACCCCTGGCACGGCAGCAGCGTGATCACTGAAATATTGCAAGCAAGGGATGGCAGGGCCTGGGAAAAGCTGCCGCCTTCCCAAAAGGCCTGTCTCCCCGTGGGAAAGCCTCCCCACCAGTGCTGTGAAGAACGCACTCCAGCCGGGCACGGGGTTACATACCCCTAATGCCAGCACTCAGGAGGCTGAGGCAGGAGCACTGCAGTGAGCTCAAGGCCAGCCTGTGGCCACAGTGAGACCCAGACTCTGAGCCTCGTGATGGAACAGAGCTGGGCTTGTTCCTCCTGTGCTGCAGGTGAGCGGGAGAGAACCAGACCAGCGCTGTAGGTGGGAGCCCCTCACAGAGGAAGAACAGCAGCAAAAACAGGAACTAAGATGTCCTCTGTGCACGGAGCAGCTCCCACAGCGAGTGTCATCACTGCACTGCAGACGTGGACTCACAAAAATTCTTAAAAATAAAGTTTTTAAAATGTAAAACACAACAAAAAGGAGGCGAAGGCAGGGCTGCCCTTTCCTGCCGTGTCAAGAGCGCTCCACGGCGGCCCGAGGTCCCGGCCCCGCGGCGGGCTCCACTCACCTGCAGGTGTCTACCAGCTGGTCCAGCTCGGGGCAGCTGCACTCATACAGGTCCCGGCAGCTGCGGTGGCTCTGGTTCATCAGCTCCCCCAGCAGCGCCACTGCGTCCTCGGGGCCGTCCTCGCAGATCTTCTTGAACTGCAGCACCCGGGCCGCCTCGCTGAACACGTGCTTGGCCCGCTGGTAGAGCTTGAAGGCCGGCACTGCGGAACAGGACGAGGGCACGGCTCAGCAGACGCCGGGAGCCGGTGCAGGAAGGACCTTCCGGCCCCACGCTGCATTCCGCAGCAACACCTTAGACCAGTGGTGGAGAACTCGGCACGTGTGCCACAGTGAGCCGTTTGTTACACTGAAAACTCTAAACAGCTCGCCATTGCTGCCATTTATATATATTTACAAATATGCCCTCATATACTGCAACAGTATTATAGCATAAAAATAAGAAACAACCTAATAAGAGACTTTTTAAATTAAATTTAAAAATCCTAACTTTTAAAATTAACTAAAATGGGGATTAACAACTGGGATCCCATATTGAAAAGCTTTTGCACACCAAAAGAAACCACCAACAGAGTGAAGAGACAACCCACAGTGTGGGGAAAAAATGTTGCCAGCTGTTCTGCAGACAAAGGACTAATAGCTACAATACATAAAGAACTCAAAAAAATCAGACCCCCCCCCATTAAAAAAACCAACCCAAAAATGGACATCTGAAATGAATAGACACTTCTCAGATGAAAAAATACAAATGACAAATAAACACATGAAAAAATGTTCAACATCACTGGTCATTCAAGAGATGCAAATTAAAATAACACTGAGATTCCATCTCACCCCAGAAAGTATGACTATCATCAAGAAATCAACCAATAACAGATGCTGGTGAGGCTGTGGGAGAAAAGGAACCCTTCTCCACTGCTGGTGGGAGTGTAGACTGATGCACCCACTATGGAAATTGGTATGGAGATTCCTCAAAAAATTAAAACTAGAGGTTCCATTTGACCCAACTATTCTTCTTCTTGGTGTCTTCTGAAAGAGTTAAAAGCATCACCCCAGAGCGACACATGCACACCCATGTTTATAGCAGCACAATTTGTATGTCTTGGAAACAGTCCATATGCCTATCACAGAGGCAGTGAATAAACAAAATGTATTTTTATGTACAATGGAGCAGTACTCCGCCATAAAGAAGGATAAATTTGAGGCATCTTTAGGTAAAGGGAAGCACCTTGAAATTGTATGTTTTAGTGAAATAAATGAGACATACATGTTTAAATATTGCATTGTGAGAAACTAAAAGGATAAAGAAAGACCAAAATGGGATAATAGATATTGGGAAGTAGGAAAACAATGTTCCAATGGGAAGGAGAACAAGGGAGGGGAAGGAAGGAAAAAGGGAAAAAACTGTACAAGGAAAAAAGTAGAAACAAAGTTTTGTAAATAAAGGAGAGAAGGGCTGAAGGGAGGGGAGAGAAAAGGGAAAAAAGAAGGCTCAATATGTACCATGTGCAGGAACAAATTCCCTATGATGAATGTGATCGCTAGACATTAAAAGTATACCAATAAAATTAATTTTTTAAAAAATTAACCCAAATGAGGTTGAGGTATATTTCTTGGGATCCTCCTAGCTCCAGATTTTACAACTGAAGCTCCCTTTAAAAACACAAATCCCTTCAACACCTGCTACACTGTCTGTTACCTTCTGCACAGAGGATGCCAACAGAGACCCCATGCTTCTGTGAACCAGGAGGAGGGACTTGACCAGCCCCCATCCTGGCCTGTATGGGTCACACCTGTGGGTTCCCTTGCTGTGGTCCTCAAGGACATCGAACCTTAGTGAGACACTGAACTTGCAGCAAGGCGGGCTTTCTGCAGGACCCTGTCCTCCTGGGTCTCCCTCTGGGTCCTTCTCCCCTTCACTGTGATTCCTTTCTCAGAAACACTTTTATATTTTCAGCTATGAAGCCCTAATAACATTTCTGGTCCCAGGGTTCCCCACAGCGCCCTCCTTGTAACTCTTAGGTGGCTAAAAGGCAGTCAAGGGTGGAGGAAGTAAATAGCCATGCATGTGGGTGTCTCCCCAAGACGTGGATGCTGAACCCTAACAGTGGATGGAATGTATTCGGAGGGGGCCCTGGGGATGAGTAGATTTGGCTGACATCACAAGAATGGATTCCCAGGATGTGGGGTAGCGAAAGGAGAGACACTGGAGCTGTGTTTCTCCACCTTAGGAGGCTGCCACCTCCTATGACAGGCTTCTGTGAACCAGGAAGAGGGACTTGACAAGACATCAAAGCTGGTGGCACCCTGACCTTCAGCCTCCACCCTCCAGGGCCCCAAGAAAGAATGTGCTGTGGCCTAGGCCACCCAGTATGATATGGTGTGGGGACGGCTGAGCGCAGAGCACCTGAGTAATGCCCCAGATGAACAGGTGTCCAGCCGAGAGAACAGGGCCGGGAGAGACAAGCTGGTTGTTAGGCAACAACTTTTAAATGTATAGATGGTGCTTGAGCAGGCCCTTTCCTCCCATCCGGAGAGAGGGCCCCACCTGACCTCAGCTTTCCGTGTACTGTCTGATCTTTATTTCTCCATCCTCTCGCTGCCCTCCCTACTCTCAACTTTGAGAGCTGCGCTGGACAGGGCAATACGGTACTTTTGTAAAAGCAGCCCAAACTGAACCACCATTCTTAGGAACTTCATAAAAGCTTAATGAAGTAAGGGTGGGGTTAAATCTCTTACACATTATTAATGAATTGCCAGTTTTCTTTCAAAGGTTCTAAAAAGTCCTATGAGATACTAAACTTAATTACTGGCCTCAGTGAAATGATGCCAGGTTACATGACCTTTGCTGCTGTCTTTCAGAGAGGACCTGTAGTTAGTCAGCAAATCTCATTGCGCCTTTCCAGAGCACCTCGTGGCAGCGCCTCCCTCCTATCCTCGCCAAATGTACGCTTGCATCCTCTGTCCTGCAGATGACTTCCGGTGGCCGGCCAATTGATATCTCTGTGTCGGTCACTGGTTCCTACCCGCAGCCTCCCTTCTGGTCCACACTGTCAGACTGAGCTCCTCAAAACAAGTCACTCCCCAGCACGCTGGTCTCCACCACCAGCTCCACCACCGGCCTGCAGGACCGCAGCACCCCTTGCTTCAGGAAGGACTGACTCAGCAGTCTCATGGGGAAATGGCTATGCTCCCTTCTTCTCTCAAAGGGCCTCCTCCATCTGGAGGTGCAGATGGCACGTTATGTCCTCCATGAAGCCGTGAGGGCCTCCCCCAGAATCAACGTCTTGCGTGTAGATTCGCCCCACACAGCGTGCACCTGGCGCTTGTCAAATATCTCCACAGGAATGATTCCTCCTGTCTCTGCAGTTTTTGAGCTGCAGGAGCAGGAAGCAGGACTTCCAGTCCCGTGCACCCACCCCGGCACAATCTCGCCCAGAGCACCTCCGGTGCCCCGCAGACGGAATGAGATGGTCATTTCCAGGATGACGGCACGTGGGGCCTTATTTTTAACTGCAGTTGGAGATCAGAAATACCCCCCCTTTGGGCACCGTTTAGAAGGAAAAAATGAAGCTCCATTATTTCACAGCTGGCAAAAGGGGACGGGAGGATTTCTTTTGCTATTAAATCTGCAACTGCTGACACTAACTGTGAGTGAAAAATAAGAGTAACAAAAAGGGAGAGAAATTACACACTAAGTGTAGGTTGAGAGAAGCACACACAACAATATGTTTTGTTCCATCCATAGCCAGGTCATGTGGACTGCCTTCACTGAAGTAGGAATATGATTTATTTGAGGGCCTGTGTGTGAAAACATCCCGAGGGAACAGAGTTTGCCAGTGCCCCGTCCTGGCATAGCCGGTCGCAAACAGGACGGCGTGGGTGCGCCTCAGGTGGTTCCTGATCTGCGCCAGAGAAAGCACACCGTGAAAGCAAAGCAAGTGACTTTGGTAACTGCAGCTGAATATTGCTGAAGTTGCTTTGGTAACTGTAGTTGAATATTGCTCTTTTCTAAAACTTGAGGTTGAAGCAAAATGTTTAAAATACCAGCTGTAGGAGTCCGTATGTTTCAGGGTTACTGGGGAACTACTTCACCTCCCACAATCACAGACCGAGTTACAAAACCAGCCGTGGGGCGAGCAGAGGGGGGAGTCGCTGCAGGCTGCCTGTAAAGCCGGTGGGTGCAGAAGTCGCCTGGCTTCCGGAGCATAAAAAGCAGCACCATCTCTGGTGCCGTTTAGCTGACAAGTCATGGCACCGTGCTCTGGTGGGCACACAGCATCTCTAACTGGGAATAATGAGAAATTTCAAACACGGGAGTGCAGAGACACCAGACTCCACGAGCCCATCACTTCTATGGAACTTACTAACACCGCCCATCTGTGCTCCAACTGATATTTTGCTGCAGTGTTTTCTAATAACTTATATATCTCCTCCTGACATCTTTGTGTGCCTCTGTAAAATGAGGATACTTTTATATATACACACCATATCGTTATCACACCGAACACAGTTACCCTTGGTTCCTTATAATAAGGAATAATAATAATGTAACATAATAATAAAATGAGGAATCCAGTGCACATTTAAATATTCCCAGTCTTTGCCCCGTTTAAATTTCAGTTGGTTTACACTAAGATCCAGAGTCCACACATTATATTTAATTATTATGTCCAATCTGTCTCTTTCAATCCAGAGTCTACAGTGGTCTCAATATCATATCCAAGCATATTTCAGGGCCATATCCTGTGATAAAAGTCAAAGCAGCCCATCAGGGAGGGTGGGCTTTTATTTTCCTTTAGGGTTACACGTTACTCTAGGACTAAAGGCTCTGCAGTGGGAACTGAGAGGAGAGATGTTTCCTATTAAACCTGATCCCTGGTCTCTGCTTTGTGACCAGAGATGCGAGGAAGTGCCGAACAGATTACAGGAACCCCAATCCTGGCGGTGAGCAAGGCTGCGCTGTGAGCTCAGAACCTGAACGGCTCACAGGGCTCTGGCCGGGCACCGTGAAGATGCAGGACAGATCACATGGCTCACGCCCGCCGAACAGTGGTAACTCAGGAAGCGAGGCGAAGGGCAGTGAGGGCATCTGCTTTCAATTGTGCTGCAAAGATCTTGCCAAAGGCTACCGCAGATTTGGAGACCACCCTCTGCAGGGAAAGCAGTTGTGTGCTGGCTGGGTATCACAAGTGCGCTCTGGGTCCAGGGCCCCGGCTCATTAGGCGCTGGCAACCCATCAGGTCTCTGGTGTACGGATACCCAAAAATCCAAGGAAATCTGAAATTCTGTCCATAGCAGCTTTCTTCCCTGTCCAGTTAGCTTTATAACCAGATGTTCCATCTGTCTATAAGCTCTTGTAATCCTTGGGAGCAATTATTACATTAAAGGATGAAGGAGGCCATCTCTTCCTATGCTCCTTGCAGGCGTGATTACTTCCAAGGCAAAGCTAACTTCAGAATCTAACACTAGGTGCTATTTTCCTGCAATATTACCAGTGGCCTGTCCTATCCAAGGGACTCTGAGACTTCAAAGCAGGCCATGGCACATAGGCTTTGCAGGGCTGGTTTTCTCCCTTGTGAATCTTGCAACTCCTGAGTCTAATCCCGAAATCACGACATTGATTCAGGAATGTGAATGTCCACGGCCATATACATTTAAACTACAAAATAAAGACCACTTCGCTGTTGCAGCACTTTCACTTATATGACAACCTCTACTACACACGCGTTGAAAACAAAAGATGTCAATATGAATTGTTTTTTCTAAACCAACCTCAGTGTTCAGCTTGAATTGCAGTGTCAGCACTGGGTGATACGTAAGTGGGTTGCGGGTTGTTGCAGTTCAGGCACTCGTCTCTAACAGGTTCGACATCGCTGCATAGAGGTTGTGATCAGAGCCCACCTGTAATCAAGGGCCCTAACCCAGGCCAGAATACTTGGTTGTTTCGCTGCTCCTTCAGTGGGAAAGGCTGAGGGCAAACCTCTGCCACATGAGATGGTCGGGTACCCCTTTATTCACACAAGCTCTGAGGACAGGGGTCGGCAGTAGGTGGAGGGAAACCTGTTCAATCTCCCCAGGGGCCACAGGTCTGATTTCAATTCTGCACGTAAGACCGGGTGGCCTCTGCCTTATTACCTCATCCTCTACTTCAGCGAGGCCACTATCACGGCCACCTGGCAGCAATCACCCAGCAGCTCCTGCTGAGGACCTGCCTTGTGTCCTATGCCACGCCCCAAATGACAACAGATACTAAGGAGAATCCTCTGCTTTAGCAAACTCAGTTAAACAGGTCAGACAAGCCATACACAACAACTACATTGTACATCCACTGGAAATGCAATAAGAACACAGGGATTGGTGGCGGGCACCAGGACAAGATGTCACAGGAGCGGGTTCCAAGCAGCCTCCATGGGAATCTGTTCTAACGGCTGAGCCTTCAACGCCCTGGCAAACTAACAGCCCAGGAGCCATCACCAGCCCTGGGGATGCTTCCCTGACCCACGGGCCATCTTTACATCCGGAAATTTTGTAAGAATCTGGGTATCTGCTTTCCTGGCAAGACAGAGAGGCCTGGTGGTTGGCTGGGGCGAGGAGCAGCTGCCCCTGGAGACGGCACACATGTCACCCAGGTGGGCCCCACCCACCCCCTCCCTGGCACTCGGTGCCCTCATCAGCTCATCCTCTGCCCACACCCTGCAAGCGTCAGCATGGGGTCCCGGCCCCACCAAGCTCCTGAGTCAGGGATTCACGAGGTGGCAAAGCCACCTGAGTGCTCATCACCCCAGCATGACGCATTGTAACTGTGACAATCAAATGTCACCTCCTGTCTTTTGGTAACCTCTACCCTTCCAGCCCTTTGGATGCTGGAAGACAGTTCCGAGCCAGTTTTAAAACAAGGGGCCAAAATAATAAATAAGAGATGCTCCCGATGCTCAAGAAGTAAGAGTCTACCAGAGAGAAATCATTAGATAGGGGCAGCCAGGGGCAGCAGATGCTAACCTGAGGCACAGCGTCGAGATGGTGTGACTGAAAGCAGAGCCTGGGACAGGGCCGTGTGCGGGTGCCCCGGCTCTGGGAAACCGGGGCAGGGACAAGAGAGAAGCTATCCAGGGGCTCGCCAAGCAGGCCGCCATGTGAACAGGCTGAGCCGGGGCACTGGGTTTCTGTGAAGCCATTCGGACTGTGCCCTTGACCAGGCCTGCCCAGCCTGCAGGAAATGTCCCCGCCACAGGAAGAGGCACTTGCACCAGGAGCTGGCTCGGCACAGGCCGGGCTGAGGGAGGGGACACAGCACAGCAACCGTGACCTTCACAGGGAAGAAAAGCCCACACGAGGCTGTTGGTGAAGGCGAGTGGTACAGTGAGTTGGACCACCTTCCTACGAAGGTAGGAGCGGAAAAGGATGGAGAATGTAAGTTACAGAGAACGTCAGACACAAAGGTGATGGGGAGCCATGCGGCGCTTTTGGAGAATGCCAGTACTTGGATTTGCCTGGAGCATGAACGACAGGAAGACACAGAAGCAGCAGGGACATCATGAAAGAGGAAATCAAAGCGCTAGGAAGAGGTCAGCTAACAAGGTGGTTAAGTTGTTTCCTGTAAATAAACGGCTCCTGGCCTTGGTAGGGTTAGGGAAGCTTTAGAGAATGGAACATAAGCAATGGATCTGTCCTCCATTTGAGCACACAAATATCCACGAAGCACCGTGCAGGACAACACACACAGGGTCCCCAAAGCTGTGGCTGGACCCAGGTTCAGACTTCCAGTTAGAGATCAGAAAGCACCCCACACTTGAGCAAGTACAGCAATCAGGGTTCTTGTTTGTAAGTGACAGAAACCTACACCAACTTGGGTGAAAAGGAACTTTCTTTGAAGATAGCAGACAACTCACAAAATCTCCCAGGTCCAGTGGCATATTCTCATCCTCTGTTAGGAGAGGAGAAAGCTAGGAGGGAGGTGGCTGGAAGCCAAGGGAAGCAGGCAGTGTGGAATGCAGTCACCATCATCCTGCAAGCATGGACTAGAAAGCACACTGGACTCCAGGTACTGCAGATCTGTGCTTTTAGACACACACAACTCAGCATGCAAGAGGAGCCTCACGCCTTTCTGACATCCGGGTTTCCAGTGACCCAAGAGAGACAAGGTGACCCCTAGCTTCTACCACCAAAGGCAAGAGCCTCCTGTCACCAGGTCAGCAGTGTCACCAGTGTGCACAGCAAGACCTCCCAGAGATGGGCTGGGCTCAATGCCACCCCTCAACACCTGTCCCACAGCAGCAGAAGCGACTCTGAGCATCTCTGCCTTCTCCCCATGAAGACCCAGCTTCCTGCCTCCTTCGCTGGCTGATTCCTACAAATGCACGGCAGGGTGTGCGTGCCCTTCCCAAAGGCCAGTCCCAGCACTCAGCACAGTCACAGCACCCAGCCCAAGACTCCGAGGGGAGCGGCCGGCTCTCCCAAGGCTGGGGTCTCCCTGTGGCCTCCGAGCGCACACTGCACACACGCGGCTGTGTGAGCACAGGAGAGTACGGCCCTGGTCCTCGGCCAATAAGCTAACGAGCACTAAATATGTTAGAAATCAGACGCAGTCTGCATGAAGACTTCATCTCAGGGTAATAAATCAAAACTAAATAAATATGTTGGTCTGAGACAAGTGGAAATCTTTATCACGTGAGAGTACGATTAATCTTTCCGAGACGCCAGGGCCCCAGGACCCGTTCCCACTGTCTGGGTGAGGGCTGGAAGCATTCAGGGCTTTAGGCGCTGCCTCGGCACCATCACAATCACGTAGCTGCTGCTACCAGCCAATTCCTCTGCAAAACAGAAAGCTCCAGCGGGGGAAGCCGAGGCTGGGTTTCCAAGAAGAGCCGCCCAGAGGTGGCCTGAGAAACCACTTCAGTATCCACTCCGGATCCTCAGTTCTCCTGCGCTGCGGAGCTCTAATGAGTCCTTGTTCTGGGGCACAGGCTCCTTGGAAGAGTTACGCAGCACAATGGAAAAACACTATATAATCCTCATTGAAGTTGGGCTGTGGTTTCAAATTTATTTTCCTACTAATCATATTTTTCATAAATGTGAAGTTTCTGAAATGGTCAAACCCACAAAAAATAAACTGCTGTTTTCAGCCACATTAGTATCCCATTCCCATGCTGCAAAGACCAAATTGAATTAGGATTTTTACATTTAAGGGGGGGGGAAAAATCTTTTACTACCTGCTTTTAAAAGCAAAGCCACCAAAGAGAAAAAAAATCTATATATGCATTTTCAACCAAACCACATTAATGCATGGAAAACTACATTCCAAGAGGCATCTATGAAGACTGAAAATCCACAGCTTAATGCCATTTTGTCCACAGAGAGTAACACATGCTCAGGTTTATAGCTTCCCTTTCTCTGACTTCCAAAGAATCGACAGCTTCTGTTTCATAATAAAAGTGTTTCATGAAGCACTGTCTGTTTCACAATAAATTTTCCTCCTCTGACCTTGAAACCGTCGCTATGGTCGCCCTCACCTGTACCGAAAGCCTGGCAAAACTGGAAGCTGCTGCGAATGGCACAGGACAAGGCGAGGCTCGTGGTCCCTCCTCTCCCTTCTGGGTTCCGCCTTCCTCCTCTGGGTTCTCATCGCTGGGGTGGGACCCAAGGCACCACCTCCGACCGCTCTCCCCACCACCCCCGCCATCCCCCTGCGCCAGATGCGGCGCTAAACTTCCCAATCACCACTCTGACTGTGAGTCCTAAATATGTGCTTACACAGAAATCTATCGTGTTTCTCCACCACCTGACTGCCACACTCGACCCCTCACTACTTCTTGCAGCGCGGCTGGGATGTCCTGTCGCATCACGGCCCTGAGAGTCCACGGAACATCCGCGTTCCGCAGAGACCCCTTCCGCAATCCCCGCCTCTTCCGGGCCAGCGCACGCCTACCTCTGCCACGAAGCTCTCCGAGAACCGGATGGTCCGAGGCATCCACGCCTCCCATGTCTGCACATCTCTGTACCACCCACGCGCCCTTTCCAGTCATCGCCACAGCACGTGGCGTAGGACGGCGGGACTCTGCCCTTTGCACCTTCCTACCCTTGCTTACAGCGCACCTGTCCTGCAATTCCGACCTAAGAAGGAAGGAGTTCCTGATTTAGCTTTCTTCTGTTAACTGAATTGTGGGGGAGGGAGGTAAGAGAATAAAGAGGGAGGAAAAAAGGGCAAAGGAAAACTCGATGCATGTCTGAAAAATAAGGAGTATGCTCCCATTTTAACACTGCGAATTATTGTATTGTTATCTTCCCACAAAATGTTAAATTAAATGAGGCAATGATTTTGCTGGTCTTACTGACTGCTAACACACAGAGCTTAAGTAGATGGCCCTCAAATGAGTACTTGTTGAAAAAAATAAAGATCTTCTACTTATTTAAATTTATTTCCCAATGTGATTCTTTGAAAAAGTAGTTGAACACATTACAATACCATGAGCAAGTGTGACGGTATGGTATCTACCACTCACAAAGACCCAACTAGAGTGCCCAGGCTGTCCTCCTGGGTTTCTTCGGAAAAGTGTGCTCCAGAGCAGACCAAGAAGAGTGACAAGGGCTGAGAGGAAGGGAGTTCTGTGGCCTCCTCTGAATTCCTTCACAATGAGGAATAAAAACAACACACTAGACTAGGGGAGTAGTTTGACCCCCAGCTTAGGTTTGACCCCTAAAATGAAAGAACAAGCAAAAAGAGGAAAGAAAGCAAACTATGTGAGGTGTGACTGAAGAACACAGGGAATGTTTAAGGTTTTTTTGTAATTACCACAATAAAAGACACATGGCCACGAATCCCACTCAGAACCCTCCCTCACTTCAAACACACTCATCGCATCATTCTCGCCGCTTTCTGCACAGCTCTGGGGTCCTCCTTCCTGAGTGTCTTTAGTGGTGCTGCCCTGGCTGTCGCGGTGTTCTGAATCGATTCAAAACACGGCCCTTTCACAGTCATTTTGACTTTGGGAAAGAGCTGGAAGTTGCACAGCGCCAGACCCAGTGACTAAGGTGGATGAGGACACAGCGTCAGGTATTTACAAGCCTGCCTTTCCACTGGATGGCGCTCGACAGCTGTATTCAGCAACTATTTGATCACACCTCAGAAAGACACTCACAAAAGAGGACTCCAGAACTGCTTCAGAAAGCGGCAAGAACGATGGGCTAAGTGTGTTCATACTGAGGCGGGTGTTTTGAAGGGGATTCGCGCCAGCGTGTGTTTTACTGTGATGACCGCCCTTGTACCTGTACTCCACCTGAACTTTCCAACATTCAGTGAAGCATTAAGAAGATGAAAAGGTTTCACTTTCACAAACATCTCGTGAGCCAGCCCAGTTCTCAGGGTGTTTACAATACAAGTGGCAACACCCTGAGAAGATAAACGAGGATGCAGCTATGTTCTGGTGTCCTGTGATGGCACACGTGTGTGGCTCCCCAGGGGCCAAGGTGGAAGAGAGAGCACACAGGCTGAGTGTGCTGTGGTTTCTCTGAATTCGTGTTCTTGCACATGTCTGAGAGCACACTTAGTGCGCACACGTCGGCCTTTCTCCGTGTCAGACGATTTTTCTTCCCTCAGGTTCTTTTCATCTTCACCCTCTCTGCCCCTTTTCCCTTAGAAGGTTAAGAATACAGAAATGAAGTGTATATTGCTTGCTATTTCTTCTGTTAATTATGTAGAATCTTACATTCCTGCTTGGAACATTTTATACTCTCTCAATTATCTCATATTACACCACCTGAAATCATATCGCTTCCCTAGGGAGGTGCTCTCTGAGTGTTTCTGCTGTCCTTCAGTGGCCCTTCATGGAATATGGGTCCACCTCTGTGGTCTCTCCCACTGCAATCCTTTCTACAGGCAATAACAAGAACCGTCTTCCTCAGAATCCTTAAAGAAAAAAAAAAAAAAAACACTTAACATTGCCTCTGCTTGGAATGTAGAATGGTAACCTGCTACATTCTCATCTGAAACCCGAGGTGAAGCGCCATCCACTGAGACTTTCCCATGGTTGGAACTGTTAATGTCTGCAAAAACACAGTGGGTCATTATTTTCCTTGTCATTACTATTGACATGTGACAATGACTTGCTGAAAACCATAGACCCATTCGTGGAACAGAATGAACAGTGAGCAAGAAATTGGTCTACAGTATCCAACTGCCCGCAGCCTCCAACCAAGCAGGTCTCAGTAGGAAACTTTCTATGAAGTACTTGGAAAAATAATAAATAAATCAATAAAAACAAAGGCCCGAGCAAGTAAATCACTAGCAGCAGAGATGTTTTCCTGGGCCACACCCTAGACTATCAGAACGACAGTCTGTAGGTGAACTCTACGAGGCAGAGAAGAGAATGACCAACCGCAGGACTAAAAAGTGTTTCACCAGAGCAAGTGAGGATAAAACGCCAGGACGAGAGAAATGTGCAATATCAAAAGAGGTCACGGTGCGTCTGTCTGACTCTTAAGCGACAATAACTTGGAATTTAGTCAAGAACAATATCCATTGCCCCAGATGTCTGGAAAGAAACAGCAACTTTGTGTTTTATATGGAGAGTAAACTGCTTCCTATCGGTATCGTGAATATTTGACGGGAAGAGACTCAGCTACACTGCATGGAGAAGTCTGGTTGTCATTAGGGCTGTTTCCACATATTCCGCTTCCCACCCCTTCGAAGCTCGTCCCACCCACGTGATCTGCTTGGGCCAATCAAATCAAGGTGGGGTGCCGTGGCTCACACACTGGTAGATGTGCCAATGAGCAATTAGCCACATTCCCTTCCTCCTGCCACAGGGATGTGAGCAACATGGAGTGCTGGGGACCCTCCCTGGAGCCTGGCCCCTGAATCCCTGGACTGAACGGACTTTCTTGCTGACTTCCTTTGGATATTCAGAGGAAGCAAGAAATAAACTGTTGAGACAAGCCACAGAGACTTTGTTTTGTGGCACCAGGAATCGAACTCACGACCTTGCATTGGCCAGGCAGACACTTGCGCCACTGAGTTATATCCCTGGCCCCCCTCACAGACTTCGGAATGGTTGCTGAAGTAATATATCCTCAGGCCAAAAATTACATATGGATAAGTTTAGGAATTTGAAACTTTCTGTCTGAACATATCTACACAGGAGAGAACCACTCTGCCCAGAATAAAAGGACCTTCCTATACAGAAAGCTGCTTTGTCAACAAAGAAAGCATTCAATTATAAGGAAGGCTGAAAATGTGAAAACAAAAGCAAAGGCAGCAAAAAAGGAAAAGAAGGGGGCAAGAGGTTAGCTTCTTGGGGAGCTGATGACGGTGGAAGAAATGTCCCATTGGAGCTATTTCCCAAGAGCAGAGGGGTGCAGAGCAGACGAGGGGACATCGGCTGCTTCCTGACTGCAAAGGCCTCTTCGTACGCACAGCAGAGAGCCCGACAAGTAACTCCCCAGCTGCCTCCACCAAGCTTGTCTCCCAAAAGGCAGCAATACGGCCGTAATTATGTCAAGCAAAGGGAACCGTGGGTGATAGATCCTCAGACTTAAAAATACAGTTTACAAGCTCGGGAAGAATACGCTTTCTTTTCCTCTTCTTTCTCAGGGCATCTGTGAATGGCACGGCCAGCAACCAAGGAGGCACAGAACTTCAGGGTCAGGGCCAAGAGGTGGACAGTGCTGGACCACAGCAGCCTGGGTGGAGGGTCCCGGGGCCAGCGAGGCCAAGGTCAAGGAGGCAGCTGATGCTAGAGGGCCAGGGTCCACTACACACAGAAGGAGGACGGTCCAGGACACACAGGGGGAGGAAGGTCCAG